TTACTTAGTTAAGGTTTAAGGTTAAAGTAAACGTAACACACTACTACTACTATATATATATATACACACACACACACACACACTACTATATATACTACTATATATATATATATATATATATATATATAATTTAATTCATCATCAGGGTGTGCCTCATATTATATATATAGACATGCACAACTGTCAGTTTTTATATTGTATTGTTCAACATTTCATTACCCATACTATGAAGTTACATTTAATGTAAGAATTTCAAAGTCTAAACCAGTGTGCATCTATTTTAAGCAAACAACTCTTACTTCATCTAAATAACTTAAAATCATCTCAATTTACATCTTCATTTAATCAACACACTCAGTAATACCAATAACTAACATGACAGTATTTCATTCTAACAACTTATTGAATACTTTAGTAAAAATTTAATTTATTTTTATTCTGCTAAAGTAAAGACAATGTTTCCCGACAACATCAAGATCTTTGTCATAAAGTTTGAGCAAGCTCTAATTAAATGATTTTGTACAGAGTCCATTTCAGAAAAGTTTTTCCCTTCCCTTAAATCTGTACAGTTTCACAGATCTAGCTAGTTTAACTATTCATTCAAAAAAGTACTAAAATTTTTAATCTTTGCATTATATTAAAATATATACATCCACACTTGATTCAAAGAAACCTAACTCCTAACAGAGTTTTAAGACTATACTCAAGGTAGATTAGCAGTCTTTAAGCTAATCGATATAATCTTCCCTTGCCAACATTATTTGCTTTAACATGCATTAAAAGGAGAAACTTCTAGTCCAACAATTGAATTACTTAATCTCTTCACAAGAAGGTTTCTTATTGTTCCACCACATACAAATATTTCAGTACACTTACTTTTAGACCCTCTATAACTAAATTCCATAATCCTTTATCTTACAAGTGAAAGGATAAAACCTATTTGGTATAGCTACATCAGCCAAGTAAAGCAAGGCTTACTTCACTAATCCTACACTTTTGTATTCATTGCATCACAACAAATACAACACTTCCCTCTTTGTTTTCCAAAATCAAATGGTTGCTCATAGGAGAAATGGAAGGAGTGTAAAAAAATGAAGAACAAATACATGTTTTATTGAAAGATTCATATTTCAGTTGCCAAAACAGTTGTTTTCACATAATCTATAATAAAAGAATTGACATGTTTTACATACCTAAAAATATCTCATTTTACTCATTATTTTAAGTAATTTATTTTATCAAGCAATTGCTTAATGTTTTAAAACATTATATAAATACAATCTGTTGGAATACAACTAACTTAAGAACACTGTATGACTTATATTGATGTTCTAAAGATTTATTTAATTCAAGTGTTAAAAACTTACTGCTATAGATCCACCAAACAAATTCTAGAATAAAACCAAAGCAAGAAATACTAGTACAATAATTAATTAAATAAATTATTAAATTCTGTAATACATAATACTCTTTGTCTAGAATTGGCTAGGTTATTCCTTTTTCTTCTTTTTTTTGCATACTTTATTTTTATGAATTATTTGGGAGATTTGTGTCAAATGTCATACCGATGACAATTTCTGGTATAAAAACCAAACAATTCATCCGCACAAGCTTTACAAAAACTCCAATTATTAATGAATTTTACCTAAAGACCTCAATTTAGGGTAAACAGGTTCCCTAGTGGTAGAATATACATCAATCCCCATATTAGTTTCACATTTTTACAACTATGTTTAAAATAGTAATTAGCTTACCAACTTTAGATTTTAAATGATAGTGTTATTTATTCCAACAAAATTATAAACTCACATTTTATTCATTTTTGGCAATTTTTCACAGTTTTTTAAACTTGACAACGTCTATGATCTTTCATTACCAGAATAATTTTATCTTCAATATGCACTTGTTTTACAATATGAAGTATTTAATTAAGATCAAAAAGATTTCCACGCAAGTTTTAGGCAGAAAGATAACTGAATACTTCTCAAACTACTAGAAGACATAAGAACACACGTTTACAATTTGGAAGTTTTTTATTACTTCAGTCTTCACCGTTCACGTCCACTCACGATCCAGTATCAACGTTAATGATGAATATAAATACAAATAACAATGAACGTGATTTTTTATGCAAAGCAAACATTAACTTTACTAGAAGTAGAAGAGCTAAGCAAACGTACTCTGATGGGCTGAAAGTACGAATTAAGTATAAGTCTTTAGATACGATTATGTTTCATGGTATTAACATATTGTATTAATAATATTCATTCGTGCCCATACATTATTACCATTAATAAGAATAATATTGTTAATAATCAGTGGTACTGTTAGTCTTACATGCAGATTATAACTCGATACGTGTACAAAATTATAATAAAACTTAATGCACTTGACTAAGTGTTCTTTAAAATCTTACATTTGGTCAAGCGCTTGCTGCAGTAGCAGTGAAAAATGGTTATCAAACCCCCACAGTTGAACTACACAAGTAACATTGCAAGCTCGAAAGAGCGTACGCCTACACAAGGCTGGTTTGACAGCTAGTACATACATGCTATTCTCTCAGCGCCCTCTACAGGTACGTAGTGTATGAAAGTTCACCAATATTAAAACTAATTCAAGTTAAAAACGATCTCAATTATACAAATTATGGTTATTTTACACAAATTGAAATCCACAATATTTATCTTAGCAAATAGAAGTGAATTGTTTGAAATTTTGCTCATGTTTTAGTCATAACAGAGGTCTCTGCGTTTCCGATTAAGAGTGCTGAACAAGTTATATTTTAACGTACCAAGAACTGCATATAGCTGGAACACAATTAAAACGGGGTTAAAATGGGCAGATAAAAAAATGCAAATTATTCATAAAAGTTTTGTATTTTCTCTGTTTTGAGGTTACTCCGAAACAAAGCACAAGTATCTTCACACTGTGATGCTAAGTCACTAAGAAACGAGCGGTAGTGATGACAACAAATTTATTCCACGCAACGGAACGGCTAGGTCAATCTCAACACGTATGAAATAATGACCATGTGTTAAATACAAAAAAGTGGATAAATTTATTTTTTTTAGCGTTAAATTTGTTTTGCTGGGATTACATGTCTTTCATCAGGGCTTGCTAAAATTTAAACATAAAATGCGAATTTAAACAGCTTTTTTTTCGACTTAAATTTTTAGCATCACAATACTAATTTTGTTTATTTTACCTAAAGAAAAAATGATATTGATCTCTAAAATTCCCATTCACAAACGTTAGGTTGAACGATCACACCTAGGTTAATAATCCTCGTAGTAAAATGTTGTTATACTTTGATATAGCTATTCACTATTAATAGCTCCGAATACGAAACATATCCGGAAAACTTTAATGTTAACACTACGGTTTTCTTTAGTTTGCTAGACATTTGCAAATACATTCATATAAGAGTAAAAAAAAATAGTGAGTCGAAAATTCGATTGGATCCTAAGCCTAAACAATGTTTAGTTGTTTGGGGTGCAATTTATCGCGACATATAATTTTTAAATTATATGCCCTTCTGATCTCTTTCTCTAAGTATGTAGTGCTCAAAGATAGATATCCTATAATGTTTCTTTTTGTAACACCAAACCTTGTCACAAGTATTTTTACTCCAGCAAAAGAAAAAGAAATGCCATGAAAACAAAACATTTCTTAATTGATGGGGGAAAAACATGATAAAACATTCATATTAAACTAAGTATTTTGTAATGCAAACATAAAAAAAAAAATGATTTAATGGAGGCAGAAATAATGTCAACAAGTCCACCTTGAAAACAGTGTGATAAGTTCAAGTTTTACACGTGCTACACAAAGCAGCTATGTTTTGGTACATTGTCTAGCACAGAAAGAAAAAGTTTAGAAAAATATTTTTAATAAGTGAATTTAAAAAATACCACAGAAAGTCTAGTATTAATAAGAAGGTGAAATAATCATGCTTTACTGACACCTCGTAATAGTAAAGTTAACGGATGTTTAACTCGTTAAGTTTATGCATCATTTCCCGACAGTCATCCGCCGGAAACTTACCCGGGCAACCCTGCATAGTTAACCAACCTCGATCACATGCAATGCGAAGTTTTGGCAAGAAAAAAAAAGTAATAAATTAGAGTCGTTATTAAACATAAAGAACACGCGTTAGAAGATCAAAAAGAGAGAAGGTAGTGAACAATTGTTACAATGCATGAAGTGTGATACACTTGAATGTTTAATTTTTAAGCAAAAATATACAATTTTGTTATAACACAATATTCTACGTTGTCTTTATATTTTAAAACTATCTACTTCAAAAGATTAGTTCAGGATAATTATCCTAGCATTAATAATGACTGAAAGATGTGTATAAAAAGAGAGAGGGGGGGGCCGAAGAGATAAGAAGTTGAGCTTCTAAGTCCTGTCCCTTTGTAACAAGTATTTTAAGATGATGAAATTCCTTAAAGTTTAGACATATATTTCAAAAAACGTGATAATGAACGATATACTGCAAACATACAGAAATAATGCGTAATTACAGCGTTACGGAAAACACCGTTTAGTGTTAACATTTTAATCTCGTATGGCTTTGACTAAAAAACATAACCAAACAATCATACCACGAAAATGATAAAGAAAAAGTATTCTAACCAGTTTAGTAATAAAAATGGTTTGTAAGACAATGATAAAGATTAAAGTTTATTTCTTAACGTAATTCTCTTCAAATACACTTTAAAGTTTCAACGCTTACCGTAACGCAGGAGATACAAAGTTGAATAATCAGCGTTGTTCTGGAAAGTTTGAGGACTTTATCGAAACGTGCACACAACCCTCAAGTGTCAACCTACGTAAGAAAAGAACGGAAATGTGAAAATCAGAAGCACGTGATACAAAAGGAAGCGCACATCACGTGATCCGTTTGCAAGTTGTGTAGCCTTAGGTACGACCTGAAAAGTTCGATTACCTTTCCTGCTTTAAAATTAGGGTTATTGTTTTAAATATTTTACTTTAACTCCCCCAGGAACAAAAGTATCTTTCTAAACAGTTGTATTATTTTAACCACTGCGGACAGTTCAGTCTTGTGTTACGTAAACCTTTCTCTTCTTCTTTGTTTTGGAAAGCACTGCTCCGTTAAGACCTTTCAAATACCAGTCACGCCCGTTCCATTGTCATTGGCATGACGTCTCGGTTAAAAGATTAAACAAATACTCTTTATAGAACGAATTTTATTAAAGTAGAAATTTCAATCGTTTTTACAGATGAAAATTATAGCATATACTATAATTATAGAAGTTATTTTATTAGTCATGGTTGGCTAAAATTGCTTAAATCTCAGTTAACCTCAGCGTGTATCGTTTACATTTTCTGGAGAGTTTAAAGACGTCCCAGAATGTAAATATTATAAAAACTATAAAATCATGTAATCACTGTTGTAGGAAGGAGTTGCAAAGTGGGGATGCTTAGCTAAACATGCAGATTTTACAATAAAAGATTGAAAGTATAAGGAACTGCTAAAAAGTAACTTCGATCTAGTGGAGTCTGGGGGAATGCCCCAAGAACATTAATATAATAATTTACAGTTGCTATACAAGTCAAATATGTAAAAGTGTGGATGCGGTTCCGACGGAAACCCATAGAGAAACAAATACACGCTAGCTTGAAACTCAAGGGCAAAAGCTGCTGTATGTAACCTTTACCTGTTTAAAAGGATTAACACGTTTACTATCGTGAGACATTTGGTCAACGAGAATATCATAACTACATGTAAAAACTGCTGTAGAAAGATAATATTAATTACTATTTCAATCATTACCAGAGGTTGGAAAGTAGTTTATTCAAACAGGCAATACAAAACTTTCACAGAGACTGAGTAAATTATATTAAAAACTTTTTGAGGCCTCACCTGTCGTTAAAATCCATGCCACCAAGTACAGTTATGATCTATATGACGACTTTGTATCCATTTTCTACTGCAAAAGGCTCCTCGCAAAACTTTCATGCTCAATTAAAGCCATTCGTCCCTGTTGGCTCTCCATAATCCATTTAGAGTACGAGAACGATAGCTTCCCCAAGCCCACTTCTGCAGTCTAAACGCGCAGAAATCCATAGGCACTCAATCAAGTGACTTGATCAATATGTCTTCATATGATATTGCATCAATACCTTTATCACTCTGCAGTTGCTTGAGGTATGCGACGATTAAGTGGATATTTTACAAAAGCAACTTGTGTACAGGTGACGAATATCGCTTTTCCAGAAGGAGATTCTTCTTGATTGTGTTATATACTCTTGTTTGGGACACGTGGTCAAGCTTTCCTCACTGACTTTTGTGTTCGTGTATCCTTGTAAGTTACAAGACGCCACACTTTGTTTACCACAACTGGAGGCTGAATTGTTGCAGGTCTTTTTCTAGATGGCCCTTGTACCCAAAGGTGATCAATATTCCTTTATTTTCCAGTGCCATTAAGTACAAGGAATATCCCCATCTTGGGAATAATAAACCTCCGACCTAAACCTATTTTTATGATCATAGTGTATCGGGGAATGCGCTAGCACTCTATGTAATGATAGCACAGACGCCCATGTTAAAACAACACAAAGTCATCTAGATTTTCTTCTCTACAGGTCATCAGAAGCTAGGTATGAAGAGCTTACCTGGTACAGTCGTTCATCTTCAGCTAACCAGAGCATCCCAAAGTAAAAAAAAAGGCGAATAATCAAAACAGAGATTTCTTATTTTCGTTCATCATCTTCTTTCTTCAGAAGGTCTAGTGTTTACCTAGTTTTTGTAGTAACTATACTTTTATCATCATTTGATAGAGCAAAACAGTCTTCTTGATCTTTGATTATCTATTTTATTATCATTCTATGAAAAAGTTATAAAAAGAAAATACCATAATTCTAGTGTCAATAATGTTATTACTCTTTGAAGTCAATTTTCTTACAGAAATCTCGTGTTCCTTTAAAAAGCTTAAGTATAAGGTGAAACAGCAATTACCAGCCAATAACAGATGAACATTAGATGACTGTAACATACAGTTCATCAGAAGCTAGATATACATGGCAAAGTAGCTCTATCTCCGGTGTATATGCCACTTTAAAGTTATCCAGAGCGTCCCAAAGTCGAAAATTAGCGAATAGCCAAAACACAATTTCTTATTTTCTTCAACAGGCCTAGCGCCTACCTAGTTCTAGCACTAACTATAATTTTCGATGACGAGGAACCCACTTTGAGAGTAATAATGGCTGGAGACGGCTTGAATGGGTAATGAAGAAAAACTTTAATATAAGTTTAACATAACAGCAAATGTACAACGTTTCGACAAGGTTTTGTCATCATCAGGTACATAACTCCAGCCATAACTATAATTTTGTTATCATTTGACAGAGCAAAACAGTCTTCACGATCTTTGACTACCTATTTTATTATTATTCTGTGCAAATTTTATAAAGCTTTAGAATACACTCTATAACCTTGTAATCCACATACGACGTCTTATAACAAATTAAACAAACAAATATAAAGAAAAAATATCACGCTAAACAAAAAAAAAGCTATGTAGGGCTGGCCATTGAAACTAAAAAAGAAACCAAACAAGATAGAGTTGAAAGTGGACATATCACTTGATCGTTTAATGATCACATAGCAGACTAAGCCGTCTCGACTTTACCTAGAGAATAAAATCCCTACATTTCTTGCTTCCTCACTGCCAAAACAAATTTAACCAGAATTTCCAATCGTAAAAATGTTCCTCTATTGTAAAATTGTCATAGAAGCAGTATTCGGAATGCTTTGATTTTAGCAAATATTAGAGTTATTTTAGTTTTAATGAGGTTATTAATTAATTATTTCCAATGCATAATATGTGAGAACAAACGTTTCTAGTTTTCTTCTAGTACGCCTTCAATTTCAATGTCCAAATCTTGTAACTAAACACTCTCTTCAGCAAACATTTCCATATAAACATCTTGCGCTGCCTCTTCGTTCTATTTTTTACTGGCTTTTGGATCTTTTGTACTACTCCACGTCTACTTTGGGAGATAACATGGCAATGTTTTGCTGTACATATAGCTGGAGGATCACAATGTAAACACATTTCACAGCTTTTGCAGCACCATTTCTATCTGTATTTATGTTCTTCACATTGTTTTGACTGTCTTGTAACTTTGGTCAAACTTGTGCCGTACAAAAATGGAAAACTGATTTCGAAACGGCAGTGTTATCTGGTTTTTATGGTATGTTTACGCGCAAGAAACGATTCTGAAATTTTAATTTTTTTCGTGCGAAAAAACTGTAATTTGAGGTGAGTTTCTGACTAATCGAGATCTTATTATTATTCCAGATGTTTATTTATCAGTAATTTCCATTCTCCTGTATTTACCCTATACAATAAATCTCAAACTAACAAACAATCTTGAAAACTTGTTTGTACAAAAGTGAGAAGCCACAAGGTTTCATATGAAATACAAAAGATTTGATATTTAAACCTCGAGTTACTAAGAGCGTAAACATGTCATAGTACACAGGGCAGAACAGCCCTGTAAAGAGTCGCGAATGAAGGTTCTAAAAATTGGACAAAAACTTACACGGAGAATGTTCTCTGCACATTGTTAATTTCTTATCCTCCTAGGAATTAGTTCTATATACTATGACATGTGCAAAAGAAAAATCAACCTATCACTTAGAACAATGTTGGGATCATTGTATATTATATACCACAAGTATCATGCATGACTGGAGTTTAGACCAACTATTTACACATTGTGTTGCCTTCACGTACATCTAATGATCTGTGTTGGTTTCTTCAGTCATTTCGTACGTGGATAAAATTGATACAAATATTGCATATGGTGGAGTTGGCTATATTCTGTCTTACGTGAATCTGTGGTTATAGTAAATAAACTGATAATTTATACTAGTTCACGTGCTCAGTTAGTAGCAGGCATGAAATTTAACAAAACAAGTGTTTCCCTTGCGGGTTCTTTTCATCAAACGAAAGAGTAGTCTTGAGAACTTCCATTTTTTTACATGGCGAACAAATATACAAGTTTGTTCATGATCTGTCAAAATAATTGTGCGTGAAAATGAACAATGTCTATTTTAAAATTTTACAGATAGATGGTACCTGTGGAAGTATAAATGACAGAATAGCCTCTAAAGAAATAACCGCTGTGCAGTAATTCTAACACAACCTTCGTGTAGTAATATACTTGTGATAAAACCCTCTCTACATTCAAAGTGTATATAGTAATGGCAAGTTAAATGTAAACTCAAGCTTTGAGTTACTACTGCGCAGCCGGGGAAAATATAAGATTTTAATAACTTCACAAAAGTGATGTTTATATAGATCCCTAAAGCTATTTTTACGCATAATGAGCCTCCACCAAAAAATAAAATAAAATACAAAGTTATAACACCGAGCTTTAAAACATTATGCACCATGACCCCGTCACGATTCAAATTATTCCTTCAATGTACACCTTTGGAAAAAATAATAAAAATAATAAAGCTGGAGGGCGGAGGAAGAAAGGTCGAATGATCACTCCAATATTCTCGAAGGCTTAAAAAGTCCATTATCTTCCGATTTATTTTTTAGTAAACAATTGGCTTTCATGTAAATCACTTAAAATTCTTTGTGTTGTAGAAAAGGTTCACATTTTTCTTTTTGAAAAAGACACACACCCACTACACTCCGAATTGCTGGCTACGCCCCTGCTGAAGTGAATGGCCTCTTTGGATTACAATTGAGTGTTACGATAAAGATTCGTGGTTTTCTGTACCTAAATATTTCCAAAGTACAGAGAATTATTATGATGTAAGTATACAGGTTTTGTTATCTTTGA